GTCAAATTCAGTAAAGTAACGTAATCTCCCCAGCCCCTGTTAACTATGTATACTCATGTCTAATTAATCTATTTATATATTCACAGTAGTGATGATGTGTGTGAGGAGGAGACAGAAGCTGAGTGTTGAGTGGGTAGTGTTGTGTGGGCGATGTTACTGCTTGGCAGAACACTGTCCTGCCGCAGACCCGTCCTGCCGCAGACCCACCCCCCCTCACTACACACCTTAAGCTGTTTCATACTCAGATGTCCATACTGCATAGCATTCCACAAACACTACTTAAGAGTGGAATGCAGTCTCCTCTACTATGATCGAGCCTCAACGTGCCATGCTTGTCTACGCTATCCTGTCTCTACACCGATGTACATAACCACGAGTATGCAGAGATACGATACTGTGGTTTAGAAAGACACCTAAGCAAACACTATAACATATTTATTAGAAAACGTTTCGGTCCTGGGACCTTGATCACTTCTAACATACAGAGGTAGAAAGACATTATATATATAGGCGGAGAGTGAGATGTGATGCACCTGACCTGAGGAATGTCATAAGAACATAAGAATGGAGGAACACTGTAGAAGGCCTGCTGGCCCATGCGAGGCAGGTCCTTATCAAAACCTCTACCTATGATGAGGACGGGTAGACGATGAAATCATGTGACTCCTGTGTTGTTGGGTTGGTGCTGCTTAAGTATCATGTATGCCAATGTTTTTGAAATTTGTAGTTTCCAGTGTTGCGTTCTATAGTGTCGGTGACGGCGATTAGTGAGGCTTCTAGGCACCGTCGGCGTCTGAGGTCTGGTTCGGTGAGAACGAGTTGTGCCTCGTTCCAGTTCATCAAATGCCCCGTGGAGTCTCTGTGGAGGACACAGGCGTACCTTACATCGTCTCTGTTAGAGGCATTTCGATGTTCATTCAGGCGGACTGCAAGATCTCTGCCTGTCTCGCCTACATATTTCTTGGGACAGAACCCACAGGGGATAGTGTAGACGCCTGCTGTAGAAGTTAGAGGTGTGGGGCTGCGTTTCGTAGTGAGGTCTTTGATAGATGTGTTTATGGTGGAAACGTTGATGTTACTCATAGCAAGTGCCCGGCGAGTATTCGTGGCAACATCGCCACATGGGAGTACTATGAACTGTTTAGGGGGCTGTTCCATAGGCGGTTTGTTGAGGATAGCTTGTGCCTTGAGTCTGCAATCTCGGATGAAGAAAGATGGGAACTGAAGACGTGTAAAGGCTTGTGTTATGTAAGTGCATTCTTCTTCTAGAAAACAAGGGCTGGAGATGCGAAGAGCTCTCAAGAAGAAGCCAATGAGGACTCCTCTCTTAGTGCGGGTGTCTTGGTGTGAATAAAAATGTTTAAGATCGTCCTTGTTGGTGGGGTTTTCTATACACTTTGAAGAGAAGTTTGTCACTGTCGGGAGATCTGCACAGTAGAACGTCGAGGAAAGGAAGTTTGCCATCATTTTCGGGTTCAAGTGTAAACTTTATTGATGGTTCAACTGCATTGATCTTGTTGAGAAGGGCCGGGGAATTGAGACGTTCGGATAGAAAACCAATATATCATCAACGATCTTAGCCAGGTAACGGTGTTGGAATGAGGGTGCTAAATTTTTCTGTCTCCAGGTTTTCCATGAAAAGGTTGGCAAGAAACAGCACTGAGCGGGCTGCCCATTGCCATCCCAAAGCATTGTTTGTAACAGTTGACCTGATACTTGAAGAAGTTGAAATTAACACAAAGTTCCACTAGATTGATGAAATCTAGAAGAGGTAAAGGGAGGTCGTGGTTTTCAGTGAGCCTCTGTCTCAATGTTGATTGCAGCGTCAGTAGGAACGTTGGTAAAGAGGGCTGTGACATCGAAGGAAGCCATGCTTTTGTTTTTGACATTCAGGTTGGAAATTCGGGAGAGAAGGTCACCTGAGTGTTTGAGGTGGGCATGACTGATGGTGCCCAGAAGCGCTGAAAGGTATTTGGCAAGGTGGCCGGCTAGTCTGTGTGGTGCACTCCCTATGCCCGAAGTGATCTTATACATTTTTATTCACACCAAGACACCCGCACTAAGAGAGGAGTCCTCATTGGCTTCTTCTTGAGAGCTCTTCGCATCTCCAGCCCTTGTTTTCTAGAAGAATAATGCACTTGCATAACACAAGTCTTTACACGTCTTCAGTTCCCATCTTTCTTCATCCGAGATTGCAGACTCAAGGCACAAGCTATCCTCAACAACCCGCCTATGGAACAGCCCCCTAAACAGTTCATAGTACTCCCATGTGGCGATGTTGCCACGAATACTCGCCGGGCACATCATCTATCAAAGACCTCACTACGAAACGCAGCCCCACACCTCTAACTTCTACAGCAGGCGTCTACACTATCCCCTGTGGGTTCTGTCCCAAGAAATATGTAGGCGAGACAGGCAGAGATCTTGCAGTCCGCCTGAATGAACATCGAAATGCCTCTAACAGAGACGATGTAAGGTACGAGTGTGTCCTCCACAGAGACTCCACGGGGCATTTGATGAACTGGAACGAGGCACAACTCGTTCTCACCGAACCAGACCTCAGACGCCGACGGTGCCTAGAAGCCTCACTAATCGCCGTCACCGACACTATAGAACGCAACACTGGAAACTACAAAATTTCAAAAACATTGGCATACATGATACTTAAGCAGCACCAACCCAACAACACAGGAGTCACATGATTTCATCGTCTACCCGTCCTCATCATAGGTAGAGGTTGTTTTGATAAGGACCTGCCTCGCATGGGCCAGCAGGCCTTCTACAGTGTTCCTCCATTCTTATGTTCTTATGACATTCCTCAGGTCACGTGCATCACATCTCACTCTCCGCCAATATATATGTCTTTCTACCTCTGTATGTTAGAAGTGATCAAGGTCCCAGGACCGAAACGTTTTCTAATAAATATGTTATAGTGCTTGCCTACGTGTCTTTCTAAACCAAATTGTCGGTATTTATTACAAAGGTTTATACCATACGATACTGTGTACTGCCCTAGTACTAGGGGTATATCTTAGTGATATAGACACTGTGAAATTATAGAAGTGCTTGGCACAAGATTGACTCTCATTTATTTTTTTTTATTAAACTGTTATTAATGTGACATGAGTAATCAGTAATAATGTGAAAGACATTAACGCAACACCTAGTGCGACCGTTTGTCGTGTTGGGGGGTGTTGCAACCCCTGAATGGGTTACAATGCATATCATGTATATATTATATAATAAAATAAAATATATATATAATATATATAATATATATATATATATATATTATATGTATATACCTTTTCATATAATTTTATATTACTTATATTTGCAATAATAGCTAAATCGTAAATATATTGCTTTATATTATTATTTGGCTTAGTTACTATTGTTAGGTAGGATATAACATATTATGTGCTCATAGTTCAAGTCTTGATTGTCTAACTACTGTAATTATTGCTGGTGGCTCTTTATTCTGCCGGCTTCCCTGTTGCTGAGCAGTAACTGTCCACGGAGCTACCACGTGATCGAGGGGGGTGTTCACACCTCGCCTGAATTATTCAGTCTGGTCTAGACTCGCTTGGTGGTTGGATGTATTCTATACAAGACGAGCCTAAATCTCCTTTATTGGTCCTTGTTGGAAGATCGTCTCTTGTCTCATTAATATTGTAGGTTCTGTAGAACTCTGTTCACAGAACACTCTCGAGACTTAGTGATTTTCGACGTTGTACTGAGGTTGTGTGTCGCATAGACACTCTGAACAACTCAGGTCCTGAGCTGTAGCTTCTGACCTAATTTGTACTGGTATCTGTGTATTGTCACAGTCGGGGATTTTCTTATGCTGAACTTAAATTCAGTAGTATGGGAGTTGTGTGACTTTTGTGGAGGATCTGCAGATGGTCCCTACTTAGTGTCGTTATATTATCTTCTTGATCCTGATTGTGTCGCAGTTGCTTGTTATATTGCTATTGGGCTTAGCCTTCTTTTTATCGTTCAAGCAGACTGTTCTGATTGCCAATTGATCGAGAAGTTAGTTTATTTGAGGACTTTGTCAGTCATTTGTTTAAGTCTAGTCGAGTCGAGAGACAGTGAACTACTTAGAGCACTTACACACAAACTTATTTGTATATTGTATTATTAAATGTTAATGTACCAGACGGTACTTAAGACATAAATATGTGATATGTGCTTTAAGCACAATAATACTGTACACGAGAGAAGTGATTAATATTCTTTTGATTATTGTGATTAATTTAATTTAATTTGATATACGCCTAGACAACTTAGTAAATTTATTAAATTTTAATTTCTCTAGTTAGTAGCCTACCAGTTGTAATCCTTAAACACTATTAACTCTTATTGAATTCTAATGGATAATTGGACAAGGGTACTGACTACTTGTTAGGAAAACCCAGTAACAGGCTGGATGATCTCTAAGCTTTTTAGAATCGCGTTTTTTGTAACAGCAATGGAGTAAATACACGAATAAGTATACAAAGATAAATACTACAGAAGAGTACGATAAGTATATAAGTTAGATGGGCAAATAACAGGATTGTAAGATATGAATATTAGATGGCTAAACTTCCTAAATTTTGTAATCAGTATTTCTGGAGTGTGAACACTTTGCAGGGGGGAGGGGGGGGTTAACTCTTTCAGCAAGTGGAGCGCGTGTGAATCTTGCCAGTAGGTAGCGTGAGTGAACCTTCTCAGCAGGAGTGGGAGTAAACTTGTCAACTGATGGAGCGAGTCAGTGCACACTGTTATATACAAGTTGGTGGGGTAAATGAAGATTTCATTCTCCGTCGCTTAAGTCAAGGTGACCTGACCTGACCTGACTTGACTAGGTTGGGTGCATTGGCTTAAGCCGGTAGGAGACTTGGACCTGCCTCGCATGGGCCAGTAGGCCTGCTGCAGTGTTCCTTCGTTCTTATTTTCTTATGTTCTTAATAGGGTGAGTTCTTGATGTGGACGAACACTTCTTGTGTCAGCAGGTAGAGTGGGTGAGAACGCAGCCTGGCGAGGAGTTGTGCATGTACTCAGTAGCACTGGACGGGCGGCTGACAGAATGGCAAGTGAGAGCTTCAAGTCTGGTACACAGCGACGTCCTTCACTTCATGGCCTACGAGAACTCCTCCAAGCCCTCCATCAGAGAAAAGATGCTACTAGAAGGTCAGTAATAATATAGGACTAAGATAGTATTCACCTTTTGCTTATTATCCTAATAATTTAATATTCCTATACTGGAGTCTTGGTAAAGTTACTATGAAAAAGTGACTTGGTAATGGTATCAGTTTTGTAATGGAGAGTTTGGGTAATACTGTTATAAAGAATAGTTTTGATAATACAAAAATATTTTAACAGTTTTGTGAAAACGTAATGAGGTACGATTATTAAGGAGATCCAAATTGCTCAGGAAGAAATTACACATACTTAGAAAGTCAAATATGGAAAATAGTAAATAACATCATTAGAATCCATATGTACTCAAATAAAAAAAATAATTGCGTTAGAAAGTCAGGAACATAAAAGAATGAGATATCTTATGGACAAGACAGATTTAAGGAGGAAACCGGGCCTGCTCAGCGCGAACGAAAAATTTTGTCGAAAAATTCACAAATTGAGTTAATTTTATAGAAAAAATAGCTTAACTCTCTGTCAACACAATGGTACAAGAATCATTGTTCTACGACATTCCTACAAGGAATTGTTATAATTTTCATCAGAAGAAAGTGTTAAACCCGTAAGGATCATATAGTTCCGGTGGAGAGGGAGATATTCAAGTTCGATTCAAGCAAGTGGAAGATATGTCCCGTTCCGTGGATCAAAAGGATCATGAGCCTCTCACCAGCATTACTGAAAATGTTCCGAGAAATAGAAAAGTCTCCCATTGTCAAACTTAAAAACGCATAAATCCCCGGATTTTTAGTATATTTTTAGTTTGCTTTCTACATCTACATTACATAGAATTTTCTACAATTATGAAAGAAAAGAAAGTATTTTGAATTTTTGAAGCCCAATTTAATAAAATTAGCAAACTGACACCAACATAACTAAAAATTAATACTTTTAAAGAATTTTTTTTATTAAGAAACAACTTTATTTAATATTCGAAGTTGATAGGAAATGACATTCGCTAATTATATGGGAAACAATTTACTTAACAAAATTGAGAAATTTAAATTTTCACAGTTCAGAGTGACAAATTGTATTTTAAGAGAGACCACCGAGGGAAAGGTATTCTTAGTAACTGATCTGATTCCAACGATTCACAGTTTTTAAACTATTTCAGATTTTTTAAATTATTTCAAATTTTCACCTATTTTTAATAAACTTAATGTGTTATCATCCTTATTACAGCAATCATCGTCAGTAATATTAGTCAGTCAGACGAAGCTGCCGTTGGTCATTGAATAAAAAGACATATCTATGTTTATTTAGTTCAGTTGGCAAAGATGGTCTCGTGGCACTCGGTGCCAGTGCCAACCAATTCAAGAAACCGCACTATTGGTGAAAATTTGAAGCTGTTCAGACAAGTCATTCTCCATTCATGGCACTGATTGCAACGATTCCAAGATTTATATGCTAGTTTACTACATCAATAAATATTCCTGCACGCAAGCGATATTTAATTAATCAGTTTGAAAGAAGTAAAATGAAATTTATTTAATGTGATTTAACAAGAATAAAGATTTCTCCGGATTTTACATATAAAACCGTCAAACCTGAATCTATACTATACACATGAATTTTTCTCTCTCATCGTTGTAATTTTTGTTTTTTTGTATCTTTCGTGAATATCTGAAGCTCCGCCACTGAGGATTTTGGAGGTTATCTGACCCACTCCAGGATACTGGGAATGAGTTCAGTAACTTGGGTCATAGAGCATTTGAACATGTCAATTGCTCCTAGAATTAGGTCCTCCTTTCCTTACACAAGTATTGAAAATTTGAGGGCGATTGGATGAGGCGCTCCAAGTTATGATCAACAAAAATACTGAAGAGTTATAGGAAGAAAAAGAAATATGATTCAGGAATCATCTTAAAGGTATCCCTCTGTATATACCTAACAACTGTATCACTGACAAGAAATGTGAATAAAATATTTAAAAAGCAATGAAAGTCTACCCCTACTAGCAAAAATCAGTAAGTTCTTGTACATAAAGTTCATTGATCTTTAATAATAGTCTCACACAGTATGTTTCTCAAGAAGAAAACTGGATGGACAGATTGTATTTGCTTCAACATCCGGAAAAATTCCAATTAAAAATTTATTATGAAAGATTTATTTGGGAACTGCAAAGTACAGAAGCACTGTAACTGCAAGGAAGATGCGGTGATAAAGTTACTTCGTCATGAAATATCATCATCATCAGCAGTTTGCTATTTTATTATTGATTTGGAAGATGAAATCAATACTTCATATTTACAACATCAAGTTAAGCACAATAAAAAAGTTAACGTGTTTCGCGGATTATGAAAAAAAATAGCCTAGGAATGCCATGATGTACGACGCTGTTACTGCTGGCCGAAACCCAGTCGAACGTACGAACCACAGCCAAGCTGTTGGGGCATTGATTTTAGGTAACTGCCAAGTTCCTTCTTGAAGGTAGCCAGGTGTCTACTAGCGATCCTTCCACATTTCAGATAATCTAACCCTCTCGAGAAGTTCAGTCTTTTTGATTATAATAATAATAATCGAGAAGCTCGGTGATTCTTCGCCTTCGCCAGCAGAGGGAGCATCTCTTTTTCCAGTTTATTTTACATCTTTTTCCATATGGGAATATGCTTTGAGCATACCTCAGCTGCCAAAGAGTTTATTCTTTCAAGAGACTGGTCCAGATTCGTGTTATTTTAGAGATATTCCTATCATGTTCCATTTAGAATATGATTTATTTGATCCCAGTTGATGTTCTTGATGTTGAAGTTGAATATGGTGAAGGCGCCATCATAACTGTGTGCATTATGTGGGTCAGGGCCGCTGTGTATACAGGTCTGGACTTCCAATACACTGTTATTTGAATTAACTGTCTTTGATACTGTTATATTTCTTACCAGGTAATCATTATTTGAGAAAATAAAGTCAAGTGTGTTTTCCAGTTTTGTTGGTTAAACTATTTGTTGGCTTTGGTGAATTTATTGCAGAGATTCAGCAAGTATGTGTGTGTGTGTGTGTGTGTGTGTGTGTGTGTGTGTGTGTGTGTGTGTGTGTGTGTGTGTGTGTGTGTGTGTGTGTGTGTGTGTGTGTGTGTGGTGTGTGTGTGTGTGTGTGTGTGTGTGTGTGTGTGTGTGTGTGTGTGTGTGTGTGCGCGCGCGCGCGCTAGACTTTTCATCTGAGCTGGCTATAGACATTATATCTGCTATAACATTATTTGCTACATTCTTCCATTTTGTATCTTAAATTAAAATTACCAATCAAGAAGATAGCTGAGGCTGGAGGTAGAAGGTTTTCTAGACAGTAATGAATTTTCAATAACTGTTCCTTGAATTGTTGAGAAGTCGGATCTGGCGCCATATATACAACCACAATCATTAGGTTTCAGTTTTCCGTCTTGACTACTTAAACTTTAGTTACATCATTTGTAGTGTTTAGTAATTCTGTGCAAATGAGCGATTCTCTGATATACAGGCCCGCCCCTCCTTATTGCCTGTTCTCTCTGTCGCATCTAAATCAGTTGTACCCTGTTATCCATATTTCGTTGTTAAAGTGGTCAAATCTATGGGTCTCTCTGAAGTCCCCAAACATCACATTCGACTCTACAAAGAGTCCATTGATGAAAGGTATTTTGTTGTTGGTGGATGACTAACGGCCTTGTATTCGCAAATATAATGAAGTCGTATTGCTTATTTGCTGGGGGGAGGGGGAGAGTTACCCTCAGTATCTGTAGTTCTGGAGTAAGGCCTAGTGGCTGTGCTTCCAGTCCAACAAGGCTCCAAGATGGTGGAATATTTTTGTAATTTTTCCCGTTTCCTGGCACTAAAATTTTACTTGGTGTGGAAGGGTTGTAACTACTATGGTTAGGTTTGTGGGGTCTGTATCTCCTGTTCCCTTTCAATCAGTATGCAGAACAGTTTGTGTTGCAGCATTATTTTTCGTGGACTGATGAAAGGCACACTCCAGGTGATCAAAGTTGCACGTTCGTTTTCTTTTTTTTTCCAGATATTCCATGCCTACAGATACCCCAAGCATAGAAATTGCACAATTATGTTTTCAGCCTGCTAAGTTCACAACTTGAGCAATTTCTAGAACTGCACTACTAACTACATCAACCATTCCAGAATCATCACCACCAACTGTTTCTAGAACTGGACCAACACTGTCTCCAGAAGCTGACTCCTGTTCTACTGAATCTGTAATGGTGGCTGTGGTTTCGTTTAATGGTGGATGTTCTATTAAATCTATAATCTGTAATGGTGGCTGTGATAGAGCCTTTAGCCGAGCCTGCAATGGAATCTATTAATGTTAACTGCTGGATCAACACTTGGGCTGAAGGCTGAGCGGGGTGATGGTCTGGTTACATGTATTGTCTTCCACTGGGTCTGTATTTCCTAGCCATCTGCTGTAACCCGGACATTTTGAATGTTGTTTTATTTTGTCTTTCATATTCTTGCTCAGCCGGGATCGCCACTTGCCCTTCCTTCCATATTTTATAAATCTTGGGTAGACTATATAAGAGGGCCCCCTGTTTATTATTTAGTCGTCTCCCTGGTAGCTTTCTGAATCCTGTAAAAAAAAGTTCCATTTCCTTATCGCAGATCCAGAAACACTTCGCTAGCTGATAGTCATTGATAGAAGTAATGCACAAGAGGCTCGATGTTTAAAAAAAAAAAAAAAAAAAAAAAAGTTGTATGTAAACCTCTCTTCATCCCGTCCGCTTCCCCCCCGTCTCCCCCCCCTCTCTCTCTCTCTCTACCGAGAACCATTCTGCTACTCTCTTCCATATCTTCCTTAACCCATTCCTCCTTTCCGTTCTTCCTGTTCCCCCTTCCCCTAAACCTTAACTCTTCTCTCCTTGTTTTCCATCCTCAATCTCCCTCTCCACCTCCCCGTCTTCCTCTTTCCCCTTCCCTTCAACCTCATCCTTTTCCCTTTTCTCTTCCTCTTCCTCCTCCTCCTCCTCCTCCCCATTTCATCCTCCTTTTCCTTTACCTTTCGACTGGCAGCAGTTAAATGTTGAAAATTCCAAGATAGGTCATTTTATTTTTTTCAAATTCAGTAACAAAAAACAATAGCAATAGCAACAAGAAAAATAACAAAAACAACAATAATAATAACACGACAACTACTACAGCAGCTGCAACAACAACAAATACAATAGACAAAATAAAAAAAAACAGTAACAACACAAACAACAAACTGAAGTAGACATCCTGGTTGTTGCAGGAATAAGTACCTGTGTAGCCTTCAGGCCGGACAACGAGGAAGTAGTGTTGGTGGGTGTTGACTCCGGGGCAGTGTTCCAGTGCTCCACTCACTCCACCGTACACGCCCTCACCCGCTACCCCGCCCACACTGCCGCTGTCAGGGCTCTGGTATGGAACATTCACCACCACAAAGTCTTCATCTCCTGCTCAGTGGACTGGACTGTCAAAGTCTGGTTCCAGTATCATTTGTAAGTATTACTTACTCTTTACTTCTGTCTCACGAAATCCTAAGGACACAATTGCAAACAAACCATACCACAGGCGGGGATAGAACCCGCGATCAGAGAGTCTCAAAACTCCAGACCGTCGCGTTAGCCACTGGGCCAGCTAGCGACAATAAGATTCGTCCAACTATGTATATTTCTACACCATAGGAAGGTTATCATAGGCACCACTGTGACCACATATGCAAGTTTTTACAGACGAATCTCCAGCTAGCGTGGCCGTGACGAACTCTAGCTCAAGTCCCCTCAATGCCGTCAACATGACTCACGAAATTGTAATGACACGACTGCAAACAAACCAAACCATCTTATTGTGGCTAGCTGGTCCAGTGGCTAACGCGAAGGTCTGGAGTTTTGAGACTCTCTGGCCGCGGGTTCAATCCCGTCCGTGGTATGGTTTCTTTACTTTTGTCTTGCTCTCTGAAGTGCCGAAGTCTTTGGTTATCTACTAATGTAAAGAAGATACAAGAAGATATCTACTAATGTAAAGAAGATACAAGTAGTATCTCCATGACTCACGAAATCGTAATGACACGATTGCAAATAGAACCTGCGATAAGAGAGCCACCGGTTAGCAGGACTCAAGTCCTGCTAACCGGTTCCCCTGATTCCCTTCATAACTGTTGCCTTGCTCACTCTTCAACAGCACGTCCAATTACAAAATCCACTTGTTTCCACTCCTGTCTAGCATGCTCACACAACTCTAAGATGATCAAGCCCCTAGCGCACAAACCTCTTCTACTCCTCCTTTCCAACGATTCCTAGCCCCTGCTTCCCTCTACCCAAAATTTATATACCTTCCTTGTCATTCCATTTTGCTCCAACGTCTCTAAATGTCCTAATTTCAAATCTTCGAGTTCTCTACAGTATATTTTCACCTCATGCTGCCCTCAAACACGGCATATCAACTACATCCAGCCTCCTTCTACTGACTGGAACGTTTCCTTGTTTGCTGCCATGGATAAAGATGTTTGTCTCGACAGATTCCTCCATGTATTACCCAACTCTTTCCCTTCATAATTTCTATGGTTTACCTCATCTCTCATAGAACCATCTGCCGACAAGTCCGCTACCAAATATCTAAACACATTCACTTCCTCCATACTCCTTCCCTCCAATCTAATATCCATTGTCTCATTGCCTATAGTTTTTGGTACTCTCATCACCTTGACCTTTCCTACGTTTACTTTGATTTCCTTCTTTTACACGCCTTACCTGATTCTTGTGCCTACCTTACCAACTTCTCTCCTGAATCCCCAGAAAGAATCGTGTTTTCGGCGACAACTTCGTCTCTGTACTAGATACACAAGCCTTCACTGCCCCACCTCTCCCTAACACTCTAGCGCTCAGATCTTTCATAGTTCCGTCTACAGATACGTTTAACAACAACGTGACATCATACATCACCTTCTAAGGCCTATATTTTCTGGAAAATTATCTCCATCTCTATTACTTTTATCTGTTAAAACCTCTCCCGTTTTCTCATTAGTTCTTTTCTTCTCCTTAACCAGTCTTTTAACCTAATATGTTATTTTTTTTTCTTCCTTATCTCCCTCTTTTTTCGTAATTCCATTACTCACTCCTCTTCCCTCCTGCACCCACCCAACAGCACCCACCCCCCAGAACCTACCCTCCAATACCCACCCCCAAGGACCAATCCACCAGCACCCACCCCCAGCACCCACCCTCCAGAACCAACTCACCTATATCCCACACACCTGCACCCACCATCCGGTTCCCACCCTCCTATTCTCATCCTACTGCACCCACCCACCTGCATCCACCCACCAATACCCACCCCCTGCACCCACCCGCACCCATCCCACCAGCACCCACCCTCCAAAACCAACTCACCTATACCCACTCACCTGCACCCACCATCCAATTCCCTCCCTTCAGCATCCACCCTTCTATTCCCACTCTCCAGCACCAGCCCTCCTGCACCCACCTTCCAACACACACCCACCCACCAATACCCACACTCCTGCACCCACCCTCCAACACGCACCCTCCAATACCTACCCACCTGCACCCACCCTCCTTTACCCACCCTCCAGGACCCACCTGCACCCACCTTGCAATACCCACCAGCCTGTATCCACCCTCCAGCACCCACCCTCCAATACACACCCTCCGGCACTCACCCTCCGGCACTCACCCTCCGCACTCACCCTCCGGCACTCACCCTCCGGCACTCACCCTCCGGCACTCACCCTCCGGCACTCACCCTCCGGCACTCACCCTCCGGCACTCACCCTCCGGCACTCACCCTCCGGCACTCACCCTCCGGCACTCACCCTCCGGCACTCACCCTCCGGCACCCACCCTCCGGCACCCACCCTTCAGCACCCACAAACTTCTGCTGTACACTCTTACACAGCATTCTTAAAACTATTTCATTCACCCTCAACCCTCTCCTCATTAACTGTACTCTCTCTAGCCCACCTTTCTACCAACAGCTTCTTATATCTTATCCTATCTCTTCTTTTAATTTAAGAACTTTTACTCCTTTCTTACTATTCGATGCCTGTCTCCTTTTACCCCATCTACCTCTTGCTCTCAATGTAGCTTCAACGAAAGTTATATAGCATACCTGTCCCCTTCTATCATCATGAATATCCAGAAGTCTATTCATCAATATTCAGTCTACTAGTACGTAGTATAACAATCATCCATCAGGCCCGATATCATATCTCGTATGCTTATTTATCTTCTTTTTCTTATAAAAATGTATTACAGATTACCAAACCTCTTTCTGTACATAGCTTAATTATCGGCCTCCCATTACTATTTACCTCTGGCACCGCAAACTTACCTACAGTACTATACTCTATACAACAGTTTCTCCCGCTCTAACATTTAGGTCCCCTACATCAATTTTCTCCACTTATATTTCCATTTTTCTTTCCATAATTAATCATTTAACATTACCGCTACTTCTTTTTTAGGTTAATTTCTCCTCCTTCACACTGAAATTCTCCTACCCTATTTAAGGTTCATTCTGCTTAGAGTTAGGACATCCAGTTTCTTTTAAGTAATAACATTCACAGTCTGTTTTTTCTTCATATCCATAATACACCCAGACACATTCGAACACTAAATATGTAAAATTTCTCCTTTACCAATTCAGTAATTTATACTGGAGAATGGGTTAGTCTCTTTCTCCCGGCATTTTAATCGCCTTTTACGACACGCATGACGCACTGGGGAAGAATTACTTCCCACTTTTCAATGGAAAGGAAAGACTAAGAATAGGATTTATTAAGAGATTGCAAAAAAAAAAAAAAAACTCAGATGAGTGTATACACTATTACATGTACGAGTACATGTACACCAGCATGTGTATCATGAACAAGATGTACAGCAGTACATCTTGTTCATGATACAAACGCCTTGAAAATAAAACTTGAGTTAAAATTGTCATTTTTATCTCAAAAATGACTTGGAAATACTAAGGAGGAAAATAAGGTATAATCTTAATGCAGTTTGGCTTAATGTTGAAATTTGTATTTTTCTGGATAATCGAATCAATAATGCTTAATTTTATTTAAATATCAAGAAAAGATATCTTTTTATAACTGCTTTCAAATACAATTTTTATAAATATAGATTTTTTATTTCATATTTTACAGACCTGCCAGTGTTAATATTTCTAAAATAAATAAAATATTAAAAATTTAAATTTTTATTCATGCTGAAATAAAAGAATTCTGGATACAATTTTTTTCAAAGATTACTGCAAGTTTTTTGGCTCAGACTTGAATTTTTTTTTAAAGAACTTGGTTTTTTTTTCTAATTATATTTAAAGTATCTAGTCTTTCCACATTTCAGGAAAGGCAGTATTAAAATACAAGTTCAGAGAAAGGTTTTTAAAAGTGGCTCAGCAATAACCTCTAACAAAATTTGTTATTTTTTTTTCTGTTATGTAAAATTCCCGTATTTCATATTAACATCATGTTATCGAAAGGCATTCCTTTGCAGCTTATTTTTTTTTTTTGTATTCCCATCCACTTCAGTGAAATACCAACAATATCCTGTACAACATAAAATAGAAACTGGCACTATTATTTACTACAACTTTCACAGACAGGATAGAAGACTACAAAGAGCTGATACACCCGACCATTTAACACCGCCTTCCACCTTTACCTTCTCCTGGGTGAAAAATATAAAGATGCGTAGTATATCAAAAGAAATTTGGTTATACTTTTAATGAATTTAAACTTATTGTTTATACGTATAGTTTATATTCTGATGTTCTAAATTTTAAATGATATGAAGGTATTTATGAAATATTATAGATAAAACATAATTAAATTTACAATAATATAAAAAATTCCCTTAACACTTAACGGCGAACATCAAGGGAGGTGTAAGAAAACTTTTTGATAGATTTGTATATATCTACTAATCGAGTAGTGTTCCTGGAGAGAAAATATATTATCCTCTTCAAATAAGTACGGACAAAAATAGAGAACTATACTGCTTAATAATATTCATAATCTTCATTTCATAACAATACAGAAGTATCGCAAGTTTGAGGTTGACTAGGAGAGGAATATGTAAGTTGTTACATAGATATGACATTATTTTACATACACAAAAATACACCAGACCCGTGTGGACCATACAACTCTTGGAAAAGAAAAACAGAAACTATCCACGTGAACCGCTATAAACGCCACTGTTATTAAGATACTATATACATATGTATTCTTCAGACCTAACTTTAACATTTCCTAGCAGTTATTGGTGAATTGTAATGTGCTCCCCCACACATCAGATCTCCGCTGGTGGTGCTAGACCTGGGTGGGGCGGTGGCTGAGGTGACCTGGTCACCATATAGCAGCAGCGTCTTCGTGGCCGTTACGGACGAAGGTCGTGTGCACGTCTACGACCTCTTCCTGCGCAAGTGTCGCCCACTGTGTGTGCAGAGTCTTGTGCAGCGACGGCGTGTTTCAGCAACTTGCGTGGCCTTCAACCCCTTCTATCCCATCATCCTTGTGGGGGGAGAGAAGTGAGTAACTTTCCTCCTTCCTGGTGGAAGAAAACTGATCCCTTTGCTTATCATCGTGGATAAGGAGAGGGGTGACTCCCACACCATCCTATGGGAAATGGAGTAGGGAGTCTCCCCTATGTACTCTAATGGAATAAAAGTGAGCCCTTTCCCATCATCCTGGTAGGAAGGGGGAGAAAGAAATGGGTCCTTTCTATATCATCGTGAAAGGGAAGACGAGTCCCTTCTGTATCATCCTGGGAGGGGGAGGGGGAACAGTAAGCCTCTACTATATCTATAACAAGGAGAAAGAAAATTGAGTTGTTTCACCATTATCTTGGTAGTGGTGACAAAGTGAGTCCCATTTCAATAATTATGGTGGTACAGAAACTTTGGTCATTAGAATCATTACTGTTGCTGGTACATAATAGAGTCTTCTCCAGAACCGCCCAGGTAATCACTCTGGAGGTTCGGCAAAGTCGTCTTCTGCATCATCCTTGAGTCTGGGTAGAGTGGAGTCTTCTCCATCATCCTGGTGGTGGAGAAGAGTAGGATGTTCATTATCATGCTGGTGTAGGGGTGAGTAGGATTTTTTAACATTTTGGTGTTAAGGGAAAGCAGGATCTTGAAATCATCCACTTCTTGGGAAAGACAGGCTTCACCATCATCCTTGTGGTGAAGGAACATGAGATCTTCACCAACATCCTGGAGGTGGAAAGAGTGAGCAGCCTTTCAAAACTTTCTAGTGGTGGGGAAAGTGGAGTGTTGTTTATCATCCTAATGATAAGGAAGGTGGAATCTTGTGTATCATATTGGTAAAAGGGGGGGGGGGACAGTCTTGAATATCACTCTAGTGATTGGGTACAATGGAATCTTCTCCATCATCTTGGTGGCGGTGAAGAATGAGATTTTCTCCATCCTGATGGTCGTGAAAATATTTTCTGTAACATCCTGGTAGTGGGAGGAGAATGAGATCATCACCATCAGGAAGAATGAAACCGTCTCCATCATCCTGGTGGTTAGAATCAAATGTTTACCATCATCCTGGTGATGGGAACGATTGTGTCTTTACCGTAATCTTCAAGGAAATTAGATTATCCTGGTGATGGGGACGGTGAGACGTTCATCATCCTGATGATGGGGAAGTGAGATATTCTTCTTCATCCTGGTGATGGGGAGGGTGAGGAGTTCTTCTTCATCCTAGTGATGGGGAGGGTGAGACGTAATTCATCCTGATGGCTGGGTAGTGGGATCTTGGTAGTAACTGTGTGGCGAGAGTGGATCTCTATCATCTTGTTGGTGCGGAGAGTGGATCTCTTCACAGCGAGTGAGTGAGATATCTATCATCAGTGGTGGGTAAGATCTATCATACTGGGTGGTGGGGAAAGTGGGGAATTTTATCACCCTATTGGGTGTAAGAGTGAGGTATTTCCCATCACTCTGTTGATAGACTGGAGGGAGGAAGCTTCACCATCACTGTGTTGGTAGACAGCGTCACCATCATTGCGTTGGTAGAGGGTAGAAGCTTCATCATTGTGTTGGTAGAGAGTGGAAGCTTCACCATCATTGTGTTGGTAGAGGGAGCAAGCTTCACCATCATTGTGTTGGTAGAGGGAGCAAGCTTCACCATCATTGTGTTGGTAGAAAGCTTCACCATCATTGTGTTGGTAGAGGGAGGAATCGTCACCATCATTGTGTTGGTACAGGGTGGAAGCTTCACCATCATTGTGTTGGTAGAGGGTGGAAGCGTCACCATCATTGTGTTGGTAGAGGGTGGAAGCGTCACCATCATTGTGTTGGTTGGAGGGAAAGCTTCACATTGTATTGGTAGGGGTGATGCTTCACCCCATTGTGTGGTAGAGGTTGAAGCTTCACCACACATGTGTTTTAGGAGGAAGCTTTCACCATCATTGTGTTGGTAGAGGGTAAAGGGCTTCACCATCATTGTGTTGGTAGAGGGTGGGAAGCTTCCATACTGTGTGGTAGAAAGCATCCATCATTGTGTTGGTAGAGGTGGAAGCTTCCCCATCATTGTGTTGGTAGAGGGGGAAGCTTCACCATCATTGTGTTGGTGGGAAAGCTCACCATCATTGTGTTGGTAGGGGAAAGCTTCACATCATTGTGTTTGGTAGAGGGTGGAAGCTTCACCATCATTGTGTTGGTAGAGGAAGCTTCACCATCATTGTGTTGGTAGGGGGAAGGAACTTCACCATAAATTGTTTTGGGTAGAGGGAGGAAGCTTCACCATCATTGTGTTGTGGTAGAGGGGGAAGCTTCACCATCATTGTGTTGGTAGAGGGGAAGCTTCACATCATTGGGGTGGAGAGGAAGCTTCCCCATCATTGTGTTGGTAGAGGGAAAGCTTCACCATCATTGTGTTGTAGGGGGAGGAAGCTTCACCATCATTGTGTTGGTAGAGGGAGAAGTTTCACCATCATTGTGTTGGTTAGGGGGAGAAGCTTCACCATCTTGTGTTGGTAGAGGGAGAATTTCACCATCATTGTGTTGGTGAGGGAGGAAGCTTCCCCAAATCATTGTGTTGGTTAGAGGGAGGAAGCTTCACCATCATTGTGTTGGTGGAGGGAGGAAGCTTCACATCATTGTGTTGGTAGAGGGGAATAATTTGTGTTGGTAGAGGAAGCTTCATAAATTGTGTTGGTAGAGGGAGGAAGCTTCACATCATTGTGTTGGTAGAGGGAGAAGCTTCACATATTGTGTTGGGTAGAGGAAGCTTCCCCATCATTGGTTGGTAGAGGAAGCTTCAATCATTGTTTGAGAGGGAGGAAGCTTCACCATCATTGTGTTGGTAGAGGGGAAGCTTCATCATTGCGTTGGTAGAGGAAGCTTCCCCAAATTGTTTTGGGGTTAGAGGAAGCTTCATCATTGTTTGGTAGGGGGTGAAGCTTCACATTGGTTGGTAGAGGAAGCTTCACCATTGTTTTGGGTAGAGAAGCTTCATCATTGTAAACTTAAGGTTTTAGAGGGAAGTTTCCCCATCATTGTGTTGGTAGGGGAAGCTTCACATTGTGTTGGTAGAGGAAGCTTACCCATTGTGTTGGTAGAGGAAGCTTCCCATTTGTTGGAGAGGTGGAGCTTCACCATCATTGTGTTGGTAAGGGAAGCGTACATCATTGTTTGGTAGAGGGTGAAGCTTCATCATTGTGTTGGTAGGGGCGGAAGCGTCATATCATTGTGTTGGTAGAGGGCGGAAGCTTCACCATCATTGTGTTGGTAGAGTGTGGAAGCGTCACCATCATTGTTTTGGTAGGGGGTTTTGAAGTTCATCATTGTGTTGGTGAGGGCGGAAGCGTCATATCATTGTGTTGGTTTAGAGGGCGGAAGCGTCACCATATTTGTGTTGGGTAGAGGGCGGAAGCGTCACTATCATTGTTGGTAGAGGGTTGAAGCTTCATCATTGTGTTGGTAAGGGGAGCGTCACTATCATTGTGTGGTAGAGGGCGGAAGCGCCCACCATCATTGTTTTGGTAGAGGGCGGAAGCGTCACTATCATTGTCTTGGTAGAGGGTTGAAGCTTTTCTTTAGTTGTAGGGCGAAGCGTCACATCATTTGTGTTGGTAGAGGGCGGAAGGCGTCACTATCATTTGTTGGTAGAGGGGAAGCTTCATCATTGTTGGTAGAGGGAAGCTTCATCATTGTGTTGGTAGAGGGCGAAGCGTCACATCTTTGTGTTGTAAGAGGCGGAGCGACCATATTGTGTTGGTAGAGGGCGGAAGCGTCACCATCATTGTGTTGGTAGAGGTGGAAGCTTCACCATCATTGTGTTGGTAGAAAGCGTCACCATCATTGTGTTGGTAGAGGGTGGAAGCTTCACCATCATTGTGTTGGTAGAGGGTGGAAGCTTCACCATCATTGTGTTGGTAGAGGGTAGAAGCTTCACCATCACTGTGTTGGTAGAAAGCATCACCATCATTGTGTTGGTAGAGGTGGAAGCTTCACCATCATTGTGTTGGTAGAGGTGGAAGCTTCACCATCATTGTGTTGGTAGAAAGCGTCACCATCATTGTGTTGGTAGAGGGTGGAAGCTTCACTATCATTGTGTTGGTAGAGGGTGGAAGCATCACCATCATTGTGTTGGTAGAGGGTTGAAGCTTCACCATCATTGTGTTGGTAGAGGGAGGAAGCTTCACCATCATTGTGTTGGTAGAGGGAGGAAGCTTCACCATCATTGTGTTGGTAGAGGGTGGAAGCGTCACCATCATTGTGTTGGTAGAGTGTGGAAGCGTCACCATCATGGTCTTGGTAGAGGGAGGAAGCTTCACCATCATTGTGTTGGTAGAGGGAGGAAGCTTCACCATCATTGTGTTGGTAGAGGGAGGAAGCTTCACCATCATTGTGTTGGTAGAGGGAGGAAGCTTCACCATCATTGTGTTGGTAGAGGGAGGAAGCTTCACCATCATTGTGTTGGTAGAGGAAGCGTCACCATCATTGTGTTGGTAGAGGAAGCTTCACCATTGTGTTGGAAGAGGGTGGAAGCTTCACCATCATTGCGTTGGTAGAGGAAGCTTCACCATTGTGTTGGTAGAGGAAGCTTCATCATTGTGTTGGTAGAGGGTGGAAGCGTCACCATCATTGTGTTGGTAGAGTGTGGAAGCGTCACCATCATTGTCTTGGTAGAGGGTTGAAGCTTCATCATTGTGTTGGTAGAGGGCGGAAGCGTCACTATCATTGTGTTGGTAGAGGGCGGAAGCGTCACCATCATTGTGTTGGTAGAGGGCGGAAGCGTCACCATCATTGTGTTGGTAGAGGGCGGAAGCGTCACCATCATTGTGTTGGTAGAGGGAGGAAGCGTCACCATCATTGTGTTGGTAGAGGGAGGAAGCGTCACCATCATTGTGTTGGTAGAGGGTGGAAGCTTCACCATCATTGTGTTGGTAGAGGGTGGAAGCTTCACCATCATTGTGTTGGTAGAGGGAGGAAGCTTCACCATCATTGTGTTGGTAGAGGGTGGAAGCTTCATCATTGCGTTGGTAGAGGAAGCTTCACCATTGTGTTGGTAGAGGAAGC